GGTCTTGTCTCTGCAATGTGACGTGTGTCAGAGCATGCTCCTGTTCAGGACTGTGTGGTACTCCTGCAGCTACAGTAATGAGGACTGTACTGTGCCCACTGGTAGACATAGGCTTCCCACCTCTCATGTACTATGAATCACTGTTGTAGATGGTCTTATATTTTCTCACACTTATCTGGGAATGCAGTTGTGCAGTTGAACTAACAAACCTGAGGCTCTTCCTGACTCCCTCCCCTGTATTGGAGGACTCTGACCCCCTACCCTGTCACCTGCCACTGTGTGCTTTTTTTTTTTTTATTTATTTTATTTGTTCTTAACCATTAAGCCATCTTTCCAGTCCCTTCACTGATTATTTTTTTATTTTTTTGGTCTTTTTTTGAGACAGGGTCTCCCTGTAGCCCCAGCTGGTCTGGAACTCACTATGTAGACCAGGCTGGCCTTGAACTCACAGAGATCTGCCTGCCTCTGCTTCCCAAGTTATTTATTATTTTTATTTTACGTGTATGAGTGTATTGCCTATATGTGTGTAAGTGCACCTGTGTCGTGCAGTGCCTGTGGAGGACAGAAGAGGGCTTCGGATCCCCTGGAACTGGAGTTGCCGACAGTTGTTAGCTGCCATGTGGGTGCTGGGATTTGAACCCAGGTCTTCTGCAAGAGTAGCCAGTGCTCTTAACTGCAGAGCCATTTCTCCAGCCCCAATGTGTGCTTTTGAATCTAGCTGCCCTTGTCACTGTAAGTTCGTCTCTCCATCCAAGTTTTAGTGAGGTCTTCAGTGTAATCCAGGCTGGCCTGGACTGCCTGATGATCCTTCAGCCTCAGTGCTGGGACAACAGGCCCCACCTCCCTGTGGTCTGATTGGAACTTCCTCTTTGTTGGGTGCCCACCCCACCCACAAGGCAGAGGGATTCCTATGTCTCCCCCTGGCTCCTAAGACCAGGGGTGCCACAGTGGACGGGGGGTGTGGATACAGGTATGCAATGTCTGATGCCTCTGGGGGGCTTATCCTGAGGCAAAGGGTCTAGAAGAGTCTAGAACTTATCTTTGTGCGCAGTAGGTGGCCCCGTGGTCCTGACTGGATGCCAGGGTCTCTTTGCCCTTGGGTGGGATCCTGCTTACCCTGATGCCTCTGATGTCTTGGGGGACCCCTTCTTCCCATGAGTGGTAGTGCTTTGTGGCTTCCTTCCTGGGACACCTTGTCCAACAAGAGATGCACAGTTTTCCGCAGGGGTGGTCCCCTGTGGGGACCCTAACCCATCCCAGTCGGCCAGCAGCAGGGGAATAGTATCTCCTCTCCCATCTCCCTGGCCATGGGTTCTCCCCAGCACCCCAGTCCCCACATCCTCAGGAATGACCACCTGCAGCCCCAATGTGAGGAGGCTAAAGGATGTGGTTTGGTGAAGGGCTGGGGACCCCCGGCTTCGCTTAAGGGAAAACTAGAGAAGCGCCCGGGCTTCAGTTTCCCCAGCCCAGCATCTCACAGGGTGCCCCAGAGACCCTGGTGGGTGGAACCGGGCCCAGTGCTTCAGTCGGGGTAACCTAGCCCTGGGCTTGTGCCCCTTTGGGGTACCCGGGAGGAGTCTGAGCCTCTGCGTTCCGGGTCTGTGGGGTGCGCCCGCTGTTGAGAGCCCTTCTGGGCTGATCCGCCCCCTACAGTAATTCTCGCTCTGCCAGTAAGTGCCCTGACTTCGCATCATTTCCTGAAAGTCAGCCCAGCCTTAGGGGAAGTCGGCGTGACTAACCCTCATGCAAATTGGGCCGGCAGCAGCGTCCCCCCAGCCGCCCAGCCCGCGGCCGCGGTCATGAGGCCAGCGTCCCCGGCCCGCCGCGCTTCCAGGGGGACCCAGCGGCCACCGCAGCGCCCTGACCATGTCGCAGCTGCGCTTCTGGCTGCAGTTCGCCGCGCTCAGCAAGGTAAACCAGCCTTCTTGGTGTCCTCGAGATTCGGTACCTGGGGCCATCCGGAGCTCCCCCAGGTGGCAGAGCCACAGCGCAACACCCCAGCCTGCCTGCATTCTACCTTTCCCATATCAGAAGCCGAAAGGGGGTGGGGGACCATGGGTGGCGGGCGTGGGCTGGGAGGCTGGTCCCGGTCCTTCGTGTCCCTCTGCGGTGTCCCTCTGTGCAGGGAGAGGCTGCAGTCCCTAACCCTGAACTCTTATTAGTCTGGGCGGGATATGACCTCAGCCCAGCTCTGGCCTCCTTCCTTAAGTCTCCCCATCTGGCAGGAGGGGAGCCAGCCCGTGTCTGGGGATCTTTTCTGTGCTCTTCCTCCAGGCTTTGGAGGCGTCTGGTGTGCATCTGCCACTGTGGCCTGAGAGGACCAGAGCCAGGTCCTGCTGGCTCTCCGTACCCCTGCAGGCCCCTCAATTCCGCCCGTGGTAACCACAGCAGGGAACCCCAGAACCCCCAGCTCTGCACTGTGTGCGACTCAGGTCCCTGCTTTCATTTCTGGGATGAGGTACAGGATGTAGGGGGCCAAGTGTTTAAATATGTGAGCCTATGGGGGACATTTCTCATTCAAACCTCAAAAAGCCCTGGTGTGGGAATGACTTCCCCATCCAGCAGGGATGAGGTACAGGATGTAGACCTGAGGGGTCTCAATGGGAATCCTTTCCTCAGCATCCTTGGGGGGGAGCATGCCCCGGAAGCTCCATCAGTGTCCACATGAAGTGCTGAGGGTCCTCCACCCACAGGTGACTTGCCATGGTGGGGACAGCAGCCAGGGTCTGCGCTAGAGGGGTGGGTGCTGCTGGCACCTTGCCTGCCTTCAGACTTAGTTGGTGGAAGTTTTAGACTTGCTTAAATTTGCTGGTCCTGGCTCAGTAGATAGAGTGCTTATAGTTCTGTGTGTAGTGTTTTTAGCTCAGTGCTTGTAGTGCTTGTAAAGTGCTTGTAGCTCAGTGGGTAGTGAGTAGAGTGCCTGTAGCTCAGTGAGCAGAGTGCCTGTGCTGGGTAGAGTGCCTGTAGCTCAGTGGGCAGAGTGGTTGTAGCTCGGTGTGTAGAGCGCCTGTAGTTGAGTGGGCAGAGTGCCTGTAGCTCACTGGGTACAGTGTTTGTAGCTCATTGGGTAGAACCCACCTAGCATGCAGGAAGCCCTGGGTTCATCCCCAGCACCCTATAAGCCCAGTGGCACATGTGTGTCATCCCAATACCCAGGAGGCAGAAGGGTCAGGAATTCAGAGTCAGCTTTGGCTATATATGAAGCCCAAGGCCAGCCTGGGCTACAGGAGACTCTGTCTCAGAACATAAAAGGTCTGGGTAGTACAGAATGCTCCTTGACCCTCCCCTTCTGTTTCACATCTCACTGGATTCCTTTGTTGTGGCTGGGGTCCCACTATTACATCATATCCACCAGTGCTTCAGATTCCCCTCACATCCTTTCTGTGTCCTGTGGCGCCTCAGGATTTCACTGGACATCAGCCTTGGGGTCTGCTCAGGCCCCTGGCCCAACATTCCTGGATATTGGCCCCATATTTAGCTGGGGCCATGCAGGGAAGGTAGATAGCCTCAATTTCCCCAACACTGCCCTCAAGACTCATGGGTTAGCTGGGCCATGAGGGATTGCCTGGTACCAGGGAGCACCTCCTCCTTCCTTTGTGGACCCTCTGCCTCCTGAGGTCTTCCTTTTTTTTTTTTTTTTTTTTGGTCTTTTTGAGACAGGGTCTCCCTGTAGCCACAGCTGGCTTGGATTTGTTATGGAGACTAGGCTGGCCTCAAACTCACAGAGATCTGCCTGTCTTGGCCTCCCTAGTGCTGGGATTAAAGGCGTGTGCCATCATGCCCTCCCCCAGGGACTTCTTGAAGATACTGGGACCAAGTGTCCCAGAGCTGTCCCCGGCTGGGTGCTATGGGAGGAGAGGTGTGGGGATCAGGTGGGGTGGTGGGGTTGACTTAGGTAGATGTCAAGAGCCTGTACCCTGCTCACAATGGGCATGTAGGGGCCCAGAGCCCAGTGTTCCCTCCTGGGTCTGCAGAGCTGCCTTTGCTGTGGGGTACAGGGTCCTGTGACAAGGGGATGGGAGAGCAGTCCCTGCCTCCTGACAGCCGAGCCAGCCCCTTAGCAGCCCTGCAGGGTCCTTGACCCTCCTGGGTGGGCCCAGGAGCACTGTGCAGGGTAGGGCAGGGGTTAGTATCACCCTCTAATGGAGTCACTCGACTTCAGGAGAAGCATTCCTGGCACTGTCCATTCCCAGCCTCCCTGGCTCTGGGCATCCACTTCATAAGCTTGCCTCACAGATACCAGGCCACCCTAAGTGCTCACTGACAAGGCTAGGGGTCAGAGTGTATGAATGGCTCCCCACAGCTCACCTTGGGTGTGGCCTCAGATAACTCCCTGGGGTCCAGCCCTCTGACTCTTCTGCTACTGGGGCAGTGGCTTATCTGGCCTCGGGTGCAGGGAGATGTGGGGGCAGACTGCCCAAGTCTAGGTCCTTAGGGATACCACCTGGGTCTGGACCCTTCAAGGGGGGAGTGTGATAGACCCAACCTCCAGAGTACGTTCCAGATCTCTGGGTGCAGGCAGGTTCCCTGTCTATCTGACCTGGTCATTCACACATTCGGTAGGTTGAGGCAGGAGGATGGCCACGAGTTTGAGGCCAGCCTGGGCCACAGAGCAAATGAACTTTGGTGGTTGAGTTTAGCCATATTCCCTACAGTTCATTCATTTAAAATGTATATTTCCACAGTCCTCAGCTATCCATTCATTGTGCATTTGTGACTTTCAGAACATTCCATCACAAAAGGAAGCCCCATCCCCACGAGACATCACCCCACCCCTGCCCTGGAACCCCCAAATCCACTTCAGTGTCTGAATTCCCCTGTCCTGGACATTTTCTGTCATGGAGCCCCATAGTGTGGTCTTTTGTGTCTGGGTGTCACTGAACCTGATGTCCACCATACTGTGTGTGTTGAACCTCGCTCTTGTTCACAGCTGCGTAATACTCCAACACATGGTGGACCACACATAGCTGGCCATTATCTCATCCCAGCCTCTCTTCCAGGACCCCTCATACCTGGAGGACCTGTCCAATGCTTCCATCTTTTCCTCGTCCGTGGATTCCCTCTCTGACATTGTAGATACACCCGACTTCCTCCCGGCTGACAGCCTCAACCAGGTTCCTACCATCTGGGACGTCAGCACGTCCTCGACTGCCCATGATAAGGTCAGTGGGCTGGTGACACAGGGAAGGGTGGCCATGGCCAGCGTTCCTCAGGATTGAAAACAAAGTGGTCAAGCCTGTGGCCCAATGGATCCTGTCCACCCCAGGGGCTGGTAGAGGACCCCACATACACACACAGTCCCCTTGAGTCCCCTTGGCCATGTCCCCCATGACTGTCTGGCCCACTTTTTCTTGCCTGTTTTGCTGGGTCACGGACTGTCCATGCTGGGGACACAGGTTCACACAGGAGAGAAACACAGCAATTTGGTTTAGATTCATTTTGTTTACTTTTTTGACCAGGGTCAGGCCCTCTGAGTCTGCCAGAAAGAAGCTTCTAGACTTGTGAGACTAGCTTAGGAAAACTTACAGAAGCCTCTAGGTGGAGACCTGACAGCCCAGGGCTCAGCATTGGGGCTGGCAAGGGGTGAGCAGGGGACAGGAGGCTAGCACTGGGCTCCCTCTGGGACCACTCAGGCCTGTCTCTCCTGGGATGATCCACAGGGTGCTGGCCTCCCACCTAGGGCCCCAGTGGGTGTGGATCGTGGGCATCTGAAAACCAGCACCACAGCCTGGTGAGGCATGACTCAGCCTTCCTGGAACTTCCGCCAGGTTGTTTGGGTTTTTGTTAATATAAGAGGAAAAAAAAGAAAAAAATGGCTGGAGGCCTTGTGACCCCTGAGCTCCCAGCTTTCCACACCTCAGCCCATCCACAGGGGACCTGTCAGCTGACTATCCCCTCAGGGCCCAGAGATCCCTGTGCATCCCTGCAAGTAGGGCATGGGCAGGTGCCAGCCCCTACGCACCCAGTGCAGTTCATCTAATGCCAGCATTTGGGCTCTTTTGGGTTTTGTTGTTTTGTTTTGTTTTGTGACAGGGTCTTCCTGTAGTCCCAGCTGGCCTGAACTCACTATGTAGCCCAGGCTGGCCTCAATGTCATAGAAGTCCAGCCTCTGCATCCTGAGTGCTGGGATTGAAGATATGGGACACCATACCTAGCCACATTTTGGCTTTACAAAATTCATATATATTTATGTATATGTATGTATAAAATGTGTGTATGTTTGTACCCATGAGGTTCAGAAGAGGAACTAGAGAGCTGGCTCAGTGGTTGAAAGCACTGACTGCTCTTCCAGAGGACCCAGGTTCAGTTCCCAGCACCCACATGGTGGCTAACAACCTTCTGTAACTCCAGTTCCAGGGGGTCCAATGCCCTCTTCTGCCCTCCATGGACATTGCATGCACATGCACATACACGTAATATATATAATAT